GGTCTGCGTGCCCAATGAATGCATAGAGTGAAATGGCAAATCAGTGTTTCGTTCTCTAGCTCTCTCATCAATAATACGTAAATAGACAGGTCCAAGTCCCATGGAGCTCATAGCCCAGGGAGGACATGGCCGGGCAGGGTTGCACAGAGGGTCCCAGGGCAAGACAGGCATCTGCCAAGGGGCAGCGCAGGGAATGTGTGCAGCACAGCTGGGCTCCCCACAGACGTGTTGGTGTGCAGTGTATGTGGAGGGCTGAATCGTGCGCTTCTGTTTTTAAATCCTCACCTGAAGATATTTTGTTAATTGATTTGAGAGAGAGGGAGGAAGAAACATCAGTGTGAGAGAGAAACAGTTCCCTCCCGCACACACCCTGACCAGGGACCGAATCCGCAACCCGCCGTGTACTAGATGATGCTCCAGTCAACTGAGCCACCTGGCCAGGGCTACACTGTGCATTTTTAAAGGGGTGAATTGTATGGTATGTTACTTACAACTCAATTTAAAAATTAATAAACACTAGATTGATAACAGTAATCATTCTCTCTTTTTTTAAAATTAACACATTGGATTCAATTACACTGAAAGATCAATGAAGATGGTTTTTTTAGCCTTTGATAACATTAATCATAGCAGTAAGAGAGTCATATGGCCAAAGCAGTGGAAGTGATGCCACTAGAAACAAGTGATTTGAACATGCTAATGAAAGAGGAAGAACAGGCCTTCTAAAAACTTGTATGCCTCAGTGTCCTCTCCGAAAGACCAACCGGCCTTGATGGATTCACTGATAAATTTTTCTAAACTTGCAAATAGGAAGTTCTCTACATATACAACCTTAAAAATAAGAAACTCCTCCCAATGAGCTAGTAGAATTCTTCTCAACAAAACCATATATTGAGTTATCTCAATATACACCCATAGGCATTTACAAATTAAACCATCCACCTCTGATTAAATGCTTCGCATGAGGTATTTCAGACAAGGAAAGGAAGTCTTTTCTTTAACTACCTCCTGAAGTTTCCCATCATGTCTGAACCCTTCAGTTCTTACTGCCCAGCACCTACCCCCACACCCAGCCCGGAAAGCCTCCTCTGTACTAGTGCACTCCCGAACTAGTTGTTTATTAGCAAATCTGATCACATCCGCTCTGTGCTCAAAACATTCCTGCAGCCCCCACTGCTTACATAAAGAAGTCCAGTCCTGGCTGGTGTAGCTCAGTGGATTCAGTGCGACCTGCAAACCAAAGGGTCGCCGGTTCAACTCCCAGTCAGGGCACATGCCTGGCTTGCAGGCCAGGTCCCCAGTGGGGGCCACATGAGAGGCAACCACACATTGATGTTTCTCTCCCTCTCTTTAAAAATAAATAAATAATAAAACATTTAAAAATTAAAAAAGAATAAGAAGAAAACAACCAAACCACTTGAAATGAGACACAAGACTCCTTCCTCAACTGGCTCATCCTGACTGTCCCCAGGAAGCGGTCCCAGCACACTCAACGGCTTAAATGGAGTTACTCACAGGCCTTACTGTACCATCGCCCAGAACCACCTGGTAAACTTCCAGCTGCCCCTCAACACCAGGCTGATACAGCATTGTGAAGCTACAGTAATCACACTACCCACCACCTTCTACCAAACACACCTGTATCTGTTGAGGAGATACATCAACCCTCAAACATCTCATCCAAAGTTAAATCTCAAGTTCTAGACCCAGCCTAGGCCCCCACCATCACTAACCTCCCACCGGTCGGTGGGAGGTTACAGCCACACAGTCCAAACAGCCTTCATCTCAACCAAGGGCCTCTTGGAAACCAGCAGCAACTGGCAGGAGGCTCCGTCTAGCTGCTTCCATCCCCCACCTCCCCTCCCCACTGAAATACATGCAAGTTGTTTCAGGTCCCACTGTTCATGAATGAGGAGACTTTCAGTGTTAGGGAATATATACTCCTTATCACCATTTTTTTAAAGTGAGCCCAGAAAACAGAAAGCAGCAAAGGGTATTCTGATCTTCAAATCTAGCACTGGGATGAACAGCGGCAGGCCCACCCTCATTCCTAAGAGAGGTCCGTCTCTCTATCCCTATATCTGTCCTGTGCTAGGTCTGCCCAGCCACTCAGCCTGCCCTGAATCCTGGGAAGGCCAGAGGCATCCATCCTTCCCAGGGAGAATCCCTGTCTAGATGCAATCGGATTCATGCTCTCCGCCTTAACGAAAAATCGGGGAGAGATTGGGTACTGCAGGAAAGAAAACCCTCAGGAGCTGGCAGACAGTGAAAATGAAAAAGGGTACACTATCCACAGAACACTGAGGCCCTTACTCTTGCCAGAAAAGAGATGTACCTGGGAGCGTGTAAAAAAGTGCCAGCTCTCCTGATGTGCTAGTGTGGAGTCAAATCCTCACTGTCTCCGAGCCCCTTCTCCCTACAGGCCATCCCTATACCTGAACAGGGCCAGGTGGATTTCCCTACAATTGTACATTAACAACATCAGAGCGCATGCCCAGTGGCTGGCCTCCATCGCCCCAGAGCCCCAATTTATGACCCAGGCAAACAGACTAGGGTGGCTCCACATGGCTCTGTCTCAGAGATTCAGGTCACCCTGAATCCTGAACCCCTCCCACCTCGTCTGCGCCACTCCATGGATCCCACATCCATGAGTCAAGCAAATACAGTTCTTACTAAAGAAGAATGAGCAAGTGAAACTCAAAGACCACGCCTATCACATGATGAAAGGCTGTGTTCCAAGACCACCCCAGAGACAGGGATGAGGGCTGCTTGATGTGGAGGGTATTTGTTTGTGTTTATTTTGTCTTAATGTCACGTTTTTAAAACAGAAAATATAGTCACAAGAAAAAAAATGTAAAAGCCTCTCGATTCCCAGTCAGGGCACATGCCTGGGTTGCAGGCCAGTTCCCTGCAGGTCAGTTCCCAGCAGGGGAGGCACAAAAGGCAACCATACACTGATGTTTCTCTCCCTCTCTCCTTCCCTTCCCCTCTAAAGATAAATAAATTTTAAAAATCTTAAAAAAAAAAATGTAAAAGCCTCAACAGTGAAAAATTTCCTTTCTAGTCCTATCCCTAGCCACACTGCCCTTCCTAAAAGACAGCTAATATTACACATCTTTCTGTAGCTTTACGAAGATATAGTATCTATACACGTACAAGCAGAAACTGGTATGTTCATTTTCCCTTCGTCTCATATTTAGTAGCATATTATACACTGTTCTATGTTCTGTATTTTTCACTTAACAATGTATGCTAGAGATTACTCCAAATCAGCACCTAAAGCACCTCATTTTTATGGCTGTATAGTATTCCTTTATGAAGATTAACAAACATGTATTTAATTAATGTTCAGGGTTGCTTACAGTGCCATCCAATAACAGATGAATATCATTTTTGTGCAAAAGTTCAAAGCGCACATTTAGAGCAAGACAAAGATTAAGAACCAGTGACCCTTGCCCTGGCCTGGTAACTCAGGAGGCTGTTAGAACACCATCCCACACACAGCAAGGTTCCGGGTTGGATTCCCGGTCAGGGCACAGACCTAGGCTGCAAGTTGGATTCCCAGTCGGGGGATGTACGAGATGCAACCGATCAATTTTTCTCTCTTACATCAATGCTTCCCTCTCCCCCCCTTCATCTATCTTGAAAATCAGTAAACATATCCTTGGGTAAGGATTTCTTAAAAAAAAAAACGAGGTTCTAGAAGAAGTCAGTTTCTCGATGAGAAATGACTGTCCTAAGCTAGGTGCTCATGGAAAGGTGTTCATGACAGTGCAGACACATCTGGTCAGCTGAGGCTGGGTGCTTGTACGACAAAGGTCACAGCCACACGCCACACAGAGGCCAAACACACCGCACATATTCTGATCAATAGCAAAAGGCCAGTTTTCACTCAGATCAAAGTTAAAAACAAACAAAAAAAAGTCAGGCTCCTAACAAGTATAGATTTCCAGTATTTAAAATTAGTCCATTGGGAAAAAAATCTGCTATTTGTATTAAACTGACTGGAAAAGACATAAGGTTTAAGTGCCGCTCCCTCTTTGTAAAAAGCCGTCTGCCTTCTCCATGTCACGGACACAAAGAGTGGACAGGGCCACAGCAAAAACACAGGGACTTCGCCTGCCTCCATGACAGTGTCAGGGCAACTGCACCATGGCAATACTGCCACTCAAGGACAAATGGTGGGCCTTCTGGTGGGGGCTTTCTCTCCCCTCCACTGTGCTCAGCCCAAGACTAGGCATGACCACTGGGCAGAAAACAGCCGGAAGCGTACCAGGTGGTAGCAGAGCCCCATCTGCAGGCCCCAAAGCATTTCGCAAATCTGAGGCTGCCTTCAGCCCAAGTCTTGTACACATCCTCCTATTTATGAAGACATTGCCTCTCCCAGGCTGGTGTGGCTCAGTGGATTGATTGAGTGTCGGCCTGCACACGGTCGCTGGTTTAATTCCTAGTCAGGGCACATGCCTGGGTTGCAGGCCAGGTCCCCAGTTAGCGATATGTGAGAGGCAAGTGATCAATGCATCTCTCGCATGATGATGTTTCTCTCCCTTCTAAAAATAAAAAAATTAAATCTTTTTAAAAAAGGAAGAAATGGCCTCAACTGAACACAGGGGGCCACGCGAAGACTTTGGTCTTTAATGTGGTGAAGCAACAAGGAGCCGGTGTTGGCAGCAGCCTCACTCCCCGTGAGCGCCTGAGTCCCAGGCTGGTCAGGCAAAGGCCAATGGGAATGAAGGCTACTGAGGTGTATCCCCACTGAGAGCAAGTTCAGGTCACTTGGTTTTGATTGCAAACAGTTCAAACTCCATGAATGACAATCACCTGCCAATTAATCGTTGGAATGGAAGCCTACACCATCCTAGCCCAATGGCCACCTTTTAGGATCCAGGCCCAATGGCCTGGTTTGCACAGTCCTTTCCAGGCCCTTGGCTGCTGCCATGACTCTCACCACAGAGTGGATCAGGAGAGCCGAACAAATGTTCTCTTAACCAGTGACTCACCGGGAAGTCTGTTCATGTTGACACCTTGAGCCGAGAGTCCTATTCCCATGTACCTTCAAAAAAGCACACACAAAAGTTTTGGTTAGCAAGTGATTATGCATTTCCATCTTCAAACACTTCTTGGTAAAAGACAGAAAAACAGGAAAAGCAATGCTCTTTTAACATACTAGTGGGTCCTGGAGAAACTTGACATTTTGATTTTCCATGGAAGTCATCTCAGTGCCTGATGCAGCTGAAGAAACAGGAGGTTGTACCTGTAACTGGAACCACCGGCTTCAGTTTCAAAGGAAAGTTTCCTGAAATCACTGCTTTCAGTTCATGGTTTCTGGCTCCAGCTAAGGCAGCAGAGTCTATTCCTAAGAAGTACCTAAAGTAAGGAGCTCAATTCTAGAAAAGTGCTTGGCGGAGCAATGCAAGATCAATCCCACGGAGACAAGCCACTCCGCAGCAAGGACTCAGATACGGAAAGGGTACAGCTAGGCGGGATCTCTACAGGATCCTCGAGACTCCTCGTACAGAGCTTCTTGTCTGAGCCTCTCGGAACCCATTACCCTCACCCCGTACATCCCCTGACCTCCCTAAGCCCCCAAACAGTGAGGCCCCTGAGACCTACTCTCTCACTCCTCCTACCCCAGGTGCTGAAACGACAAAGCCACCCACAGCAAGGCGGGGCTCATGCTGGGCAACTCTGCGGAAGATACCTCGGTGATGCTCGGGAGAAAAAAGACATACTTTTTTTTCATAAGGCCAAGCCAAAAAAGGAAATGAAAAGATTTTTTTAGTCTAAATGTTTGTAGTGTTCAAAGAAGTAGTAAGGTATTTCCCCAAGAATTCAGAAATAAGAGAATCAAGTCACCACCTTTTAAGATAGTAGAAGCCCACACGTGATGTCTGATATTAACCATGTGTGAATGTCAACAAGTAGCTGAGGGCTGAAGTATAACTTTAGGGTTGCATAACAATGTGAATGTACTTAACGCCATTGAACTGCGCACTTAAAAATAGCCAAAAGGGGCAGAGCATTTAAGCTCTTGCTCCTTGGCAACTATTATCAGTTTTGCTCAAATAAACTCTTATGAAAATCCAAAATGGCTAAAATGGTAACTTTTATGTTATGTATATTTTATTACAATAAAATAATTTTTTTAAAGCAGTGACATAGGGTTCCCTTATTTTGACCATTTCCAAGTGACTGTACACTTACATTTTGATTATTTTTAATGTTTTTTTTTAGGCTTTATTTATTCACTTTTAGAGAGGGGGAGGGGAGAGAGAAAAACATCCATGTGTGAGAGATACATCAATTATTTGCCTCTTGCATGCCCCTAACAGGGGACCTAGCCCACAACCCTGACTGGGAATCGAACCAGCAACCTTTTTGGTGCTCAGCCCATTGAGCCACACCGGCCAGGGCTTGATTATTTTCTATTCTAAGTAATTCCACAGGAACCCTTCCATATACACTTCCCCATGTTGGACTATTTCTTTCCCTTCCTGGCACGTTCCACACACCCGGATGCCTGGTTCCTAACACTACTAGAGTCCCCACAACATGGCGCTCCTGCCCTTCTCTGGATGGCCGTGCCGCTGAGTTTTAGAAGAGCAGCCCTGACCACCCAAGTAAAGGATCATGCAGGGAGGGAAGGCTGTGATGCAACCACCTCTGTCTGAAACCAGCTACCCCATCATGGAGGGCAGGGAGCAGGAAAAGGCACCAGCCAACACTCGGCCCTGGTAACTTGGGCAGCAGGGGCTGGAGGGAAGGGGAGGGAAGGGGAGGGAAGGGGAAAAGAGAAAAGGAACAGACTTCAAAAAGGGACTTCCATGGTTCAAAGGACCTGGAGACTCACAAACTGCCTGCTACCTCCTGACAGAAGGGGACCTTTGAGGACCATCAGGAGCAGAAGCTGTGTAAGCCCAATGGCAGGATTCCCACATTTTCCCAGGAAAACAGCAGGCCAAATAATTAGCTTCCCTACTTTACGTGATTTAGAAGCTGCCAAAAACTGGTGTCCGTTCCCTCAATGCCTTGGCTGACCACTCAGCAAATGAGCCCAACTACTGTGCAGCCATCAATCCAACACATACAAGTGCAACAGAGCCAGTGGTTTACCTGACTTGGGTGCCAGCCCAACACCCTGCCTGCTGGGAGGGGCCTGGGCCTCTGTCCAACACCACCTGAGATACAATCCCTGGCATACAGGCTTCCTGAATCCCTGGCATACAGGCTTCCTGATGCTAAGATGAGGCCTTGTGTTTAGAGCTATGTGCTCCTAGGTGACCCTGGACAGCTAAGGCCAACACAGACAGGGAAAGTCAAGGGCCACCCAGAAAGGGTATGCTTGGCCACCAGCAACAGGTCTCTGGGTCTACAACTGTCCATGGGAATGGGGAACTACTAAGGCGTGTGTGCCCAAAACACAAGTTGCTTAGGCCTCCCCGTAGGGGATGCTTCTTTAACCTCTGGCGGCTAGCCCTCAACACCCTCCTATAGGCTCTCTGCCCCACAGGTAGGGTAGTGTTTACTAGTGAATAGCCTGGGAGCTTTACATACTCCAGGTCCAACTGGAAAATCTGAGTGGGTGAGCTAAGGACACAGCAGCCAAGGAGGCCAGTACCCTCACTTGGGCATCATGCTACTGCCAGCTGTTGATGACACAGGGCACAGCCCCATAGGAGCCTAAGCTGCTTACCAGATGCAGTCAGAGCTGAGTCACTGTTCAAGGGGAATGAATCCCATCTCATCAAACACCAGGTGACATTAAGTCTTCTCCAAAAACATGATATTCTAAAACTACAAAAAAAGATGCAGCCTTCCCTCTTCTAGCAAATCTTCGTGCACTTGAGATAAGCAGAGAGGGTAGAGCTGACCCTACAAATATACTGAAAACACTAAATTGTATACTTTAAATGGGTAAATTATATAGAAAGTTAAATTACATCTCAATAATACTGTACAAACTAGAAATAAAAGGGAACAATCTCAACATAATAAAAGCCATCTATGAAAAACCTACAGCTAACATCAAAGGTGAAAGACTGAAAACTTTTCCTCTAAGATCAAGAACAAGACCAAGATGCCTGTTTTTGCCATTTTTATTCAATAGGGTATTGAAAGTGCTAGCCAAAGCAATTAGACAAGAAAAAAAAGCATTTAAATTGTAAAGAAATAAGTAAAACTATCTGTTCACAGATGGCATGAGCTTATATGCAGAAAACCTTAAAGATTCCACAAAAAAAACTGTTAGCAAAAACTAGCATATGAAATCAACAAAGTTATAGGATACAAAATAAACACACAAAAGTAGTTGTGTTTCTATACATTAACACTGAACAATCTAAAAATTTTTAAGAAAATAATTTCATTTACAATAACATGAACAAGAATAAAATACTTAGGGATAAACTTAACTAAGAAGGTGAAAGACTTGAACACTGAAAACTATAGAACACTGAAAGAAATTAAAGATACAGAAAATGAAAAGACATCCAGGTTCATAGGTTGGAAGACTGAATACTGTTAAGATGGCCCTGAGTGGTGTGGTTCAGTTGGCTGGGCATTCTCCTGCAGGGCGAAAGGTTGCTGGTTTGATTCCCGGACAAGGCACACACCTGGGTTGCAGGTTCAGTCCCCACACAGGGTGTGTTTGAGGGGCGAGTGATTGATGTATCTCTCTCACATCAATGTTTCTCTCCCTCTCTCCCTTCTCTCTAAAAAGAAATAAGTAAATGTTTTTTTAAAAAAGTATCTCATTTTTTACAAACACTGTTAAGATGTCAGTACTACCCTAAGAATATATACAGATTCAATGCCACCCACAGAGAATCTCAAAGGACACTGAATAGCCATAACAATTTTGAAAAAGAAAAAGGTGGAGGAGTCATACTTCCTGATCTCAAAATTACTACAAAGCTACAATAATCAAAACAGTATTGGTACTGGCATAAAGTTAAACATATAGACCAATGCAACAGAGTAGAGAGCCCAGAAATAAACCTTCAGATACGTGGCAAACTGATTTCAACAAGGGTTCCAAAACATTCAACTGAAAAATGACAATGTTCTCAACAAATGGTGCCAACACAACTGAATACCCATATGCAAAAGAATGAAGTTGAACCCTTAGCTTACATCATATGTAAAATTAACTCAAAATGTACCAGAGATCTAAATGTAAAACCTAAAACTGTAAAGCTCTTATTAGAAAACATAAGAAAAAAACTTCCTGACACTGAAATTGGCAAGGATTTCTTTAATATGACATCCAAAACACAGGCAACCAAAGAAAAAAGATACACTAAACTGAACCAAAATTTAAAACTTTTGTACATCAAAGGATGTAATCAACAAAGTGAAAAGGCAACTCAACAAATGAGAGAAAACATTTGTAAATCATGTATCTAATAAGGCTTTAATATCTAGGATACACAAAGAACTCTTACAACAACAAAAAACCACTTAAAAATGAACAAAGGACTTGAATAGATATTTTTCCAAAGAGATACAAATGGTAAATATCCACATAAAGAGACACTCAACATCACTAATCATGTGGGAAATGTAGCTCAAAACCACAATAAGACACCACTTCATACCCTTTAGGATGGCAATTATTAAAATAAGTAAATAAATAAATAAAACAAATGCTGGTGAGGATGTAGAGAAATTGCAACCTTTGTGCACTGATGGTGGGAATGTGAAATGGTGCAATTGCTATGGAAAACAGTATGGCAATTAATTATATAGTGATTACAAGTTTAAAAAATTAAACATGGGCCCTGGCTGGTGTGGCCCAGGGGACTGACTGCTGGCCTGTGACCTGCCAGCCAGGTCCCCCTGTTGCAGGCAGGCAAGAGGCAACGACCACCTGTTTTACCCGTTGATGTTCTATCCCTCTCTTTCTCTCTCCCTTCCCTTCTCTCTGAAAATAAATTTAAAAATATTTTTTAAAACATCAAACAAAATTAGTATATGATCCAGCAATTCCATTTCTGGGTATATACTCAAAAGAATTGAAAGCAGGGACTCAGACAGATATTTGTATACCCATAC